CCCTCTGACTGCCCAACCCTGCCCCCAGTCCCGCCCTCTGACTGCCCAACTCCACCCCCCAGTCCCGCCCTCTGACTGCCCAACCCTGCCCCCAGTCCCACCCTCTGACTGCCCAACTCCACACCCCAGTCCCGCCCTCTGACTGCCCAGCCCCGCCCCCTGACCTGGCGTCCAGGAAGCGGGAGCGCAGGATCATCACGGCCTCGCAGGTGCTCTGCTTCAGCTGCGTCTGGATGGCGCTGAACTTGCGGTGGATGATGCCCACCATGCGCTCGATCTCCCGGGGCGACACGGGCCGCGTGCGCGACTGCTCCCGCAGCAGGTTCATCACGTGGGTGGTGAACTCGCTGCAGGCCTGGGGGAGACAGAGAGGGGGTCAGTAGAGGGTCATCGCGTGGGGAGGGGCGGGGGCGGCTCCGCACGGTCCGGACCGGGCCCGTACCTGCTCGTACTTCTCCAGCTCGGTGTGGTAGATGTTTCGGATCTGGCCCAGCTTGCTCTTGTAGTCCGAGTGCTCCAGCGAGCTGTCCGGCGACACCGCGCCCCCCGAGCTGGTCGCCGCGGAGACGGCCGCGGCGGCCCCGCCTCCTTTCTCCGGCCCGGCCACGCCCTCCGCCAGCAGCATGTTGTCCAATCGGACGAGCTGGGGGTCGGGGGGCTCCTCCTCCTGGTTGCTGCGCATGGACAGCCCTGGGAACCCAGAACTGTCAGTCAAACGGAGCGACGGGGAGAGTAGCCAATCACAGCCAGGATAGACACCCTGCGGTCACGCCCACCCCTGGACCGGGACTGGACAGCCCTGCTGCAGACACACTGACCCCTCCAGGACTGGACAGCCCTGCTGCAGACACACTGACCCCTCCAGGACTGGACAGGCCCTGCTGCAGACACACTGACTGACCCCTCCAGGGCCAGGACTGGACAGCCCTGCTGCAGACACACTGACTGACCCCTCCAGGGCCATGACTGGACAGCCCTGCTGCAGACACACTGACTGACCCCTCCAGGACTGGACAGCACT